CAGGATGTGAGAAGCAGCGAGCGACTGAGTGGAGTTTAGTGATGAAAACAAAGTGATCAACAGGGACAGGGATTTGAAGGATATGACTGGGAGCTCGCACCAGAGCCAACAGCACCCCCGAAATCGTTCTCTCTGCTGCGTTGTGACTGCTGCGGCGAAATCTGGGTCTGATTCTGTTTTATTTTTTCTCGATCGGGCCAAGCTTTTTAGCAAAAGTAATAATCCTGAGAATTTCTGATAATCCTGATAAGCCCCCACAAACCCATGGGTTATGGGTTCACGGTGCTCAACCTCATATGTAAAATTTAGATTAAAATCTCTTAAGCCCCTGATTGCTCAGCATCTTACCATGTCCATAAGCGCCGTAAGTGAAGCAGACCACGTGGCCTACTTGTGGGCTCAAATACCCCTTGAGGTGTCACGTCTCACGCCTTGCGACGCGACCTGATGGACACCTCGCACGCATACCCTTGCCCACACCACATTCCCTCGACCCACCTACCGAAGATACCCTCAACCCACCACGACCCAATCCGGCTTCAACAACTCTCTCGAATCGGGATCATGCTACTAACTGATTTTGTAGCCCATCTGCCACCTCAGCTCAGGCGAACACTCACAGTACCCGACTTCGTGCGATTCATGTCGCTTGCATCCGAAGTCCAACACTGCGCTGGACCAGGACTTCGACTGCGATCGTACCGCCTACCAGTCGCTGACTTCTTCATTTCTGCCCTACAACCGGCTTTCCCTCACAACCTCATTCACAGCATCTGGAGTTTAGCCTTTGACATCTTACCCTCCTCCCGTCTCGATCCAACCGCATGCATCCGTGAACTCGGCATTCAACCCAAAATCTCACAAGTGGCCAAAAGAAAGGGCATATATTCTTGTGTCCATGCAGGCGTAGGAGGAGGATCGAGAATGACGCCGGCAGGTGATACACGTGGTCCCCAATCTTTGAAGCTCGAAATGATCGGCCTCGGAAACCCAAGGTTGATGAGGGTTCTTTCGTGGTTGAATTGGTCGCAGCGCCATGTTCGCGTGTTATGTTCTTGAGAATTTGGGCACTATTATGCCAAGTTAGCATTAGGGAAAAAAGGTGAACGCTTGGGTACTAATCTGGACTTACTCCAATGGACCATGCGTCAGCCTTGGGAGTCCAGTACTTTAGTCCGGCGTTGCAAACCGGGCAGTAGATCCCTACCGGGCGTCCTTTTTTGTCGTCTGGGTGCGGCGGTTCGGGAAGGAACCCAGGAGTCACGAAAACGTAATTCGAGTGGATTAGGGTCGCAACAACCATGTTCGAATTCCCCAGAATGCCAGTCAATTTTCCTGGGAGAGGACTATCATCAGCCTAATGTTTGCAATGATTGACATAAAATCGGGTGAGAAACGAGATAATTATGGAAAACTGACTCTGTGTGCTTCGAGAAGACGATATTGAGCAGCTAGTGACCCAATGATATCAGCGCGAGGTCTTGCTATGTTGGATACTACGCTCGTAGGTGAAAGGTGAATTACAATTGAAAAAGTAAATGTATCTTGAGGGCTCAAGGTGAGGTATCGTGAAGTATTTTGAAAGTTGGGTCGGGTGTTGGTCAAAGAAAAAAGTCCAACATGGACGGTCCGTGAGCAATGGTCGAAGTTGGATATTTGTATCCATTCTGTCGCAGGTGTCGTTAGGGAATGTTGAGAGCGCGTGGTGGTGGTGGTGTGGTGAAAATTTTTTCGTGATGAAACCCTTTTGGTTTGTAAGGGATTGTTTCATTTCGGGAAAGTGGGACAGGTGAGTGACATGCACACGTCATGACCTAACAGTAAGGTTTCTGACTTTAGTATAGACCTACACATAGCTATGTGATATGCTAGTATTAAGTTCTACACATGCCTGTAACGGGACGGCTGTACGCTGTATTATCAGAATTTTATCATTATCAGATTATCAGAAATTATCAGGAAAAAAACCCGGATCCTGAAGTGTTCCCCATGAAGAAAATGTCTGAAAATATGAAACCGGAAAATATAAGTGGCTCTCAAACCTGATCCAGTTACAAAAAACCCGGTTGCCCCAGTTGAATTTTTGGCTGGGAGCTGTCGACAAATGTCAACTTGATACACAAAGTTACTGCCAAAAAACAACTGGGTCAACTGGGTTTTTTGAAAACCGGGGCAGGTTTGAGAGCCACTATAGTTTGTTCGAATCTCAAAACAAACTTGTTTTTTTTTTCGTTTTCGATCATCTCTTGGCTTGTTAAAGAGATAATGAATCGTATGATTTCACCTCCGAGGTAGGTACATAGACTCGATTTTCGCCTCAAGGAGAACACCAAAAGTGAAACTATGAATTTTCTACGTAATTGATCGAACATGTGGTTTATACATAAAACCAAAACTAAAAAAAACTCAAGACCGAATCAATTGAATGAAGCACTCCACTTTTGAGTTGATAAATGAGAAATTGTAATGAAGACTAATTTTGATTTGTATTGGAGTGAATCGATCGACTTATTAAGCTTTATTAAGTTGATAATTATAAGGATTAAGTTTGACTTGTATACTTCGATCCCACACCTT